CCCCTGCGCCGTCCCGTCACAGCGCAGGTCCAGGCGGAGATCGAGCGGGAGATCGGCCAGCAGCGCGCCCCCCGCATGGAGGACAGGGCCAAGATGCCCTACACCGACGCCGTCATCCATGAGATCCAGCGCTTCGCCGACGTCCTTCCTCTGGGCGTGCCCCACGCCGTGACACGGGACACCCAGTTCAGAGGCTACACCCTTCCTAAGGTACACCGGGCCGGGTCCCACAACGTCACCCCACGCCGTGACACGGGACACCCAGTTCAGAGGCTACACCCTTCCTAAGGTACACCGTCCCCACAACGTCACCCATCCATGAGATCCAGCGCTTCGCCGACGTCCTTCCTCTGGGCGTGCCCCACGCCGTGACACGGGACACCCAGTTCAGAGGCTACACCCTTCCTAAGGTACACCGGGCCGGGTCCCACAACGTCACCCCACGCCGTGACACGGGACACCCAGTTCAGAGGCTACACCCTTCCTAAGGTACACCGTCCCCACAACGTCACCCCACGGCTGCGCGAGGGGTCAGTCTGGGGGGGCTGCTTGAGGGCCGGGGCCGGATTGTTTCCTGCGGGGGCGAAAATGAACAATCCGCAAACAGGGTCAGAGACTTGTCAGGCAAAAGCCCGGATTCTGGTCGAGCCGACGGTTTGGCTCCAATCTCGCCCCTTTCTCGAGGTTTCCGTTTGGGGACATCGGGCGATAAACGGACTGCAGATTGGGCTCAAACCGAAGCCCGGCCTGTCACTTCCAAAATGCCCCCGTGCAGCAGAGCTTTGCACGATTTTCCCAACGTGAACAAGCTGGTGCAAGGGCAGCAGAATCCAGGGGGAAAAATCAGCAAACCAGTTTCGGATACAAAGGGTCACCCGGCTCCTGCTCTGGCTTCCCGGGGGCCCGCTCCCCAGGGCCTGCTGCCCCTTGTGTGGGCAGGCGGCTGCACTAGTGCAAGGAAGCTGCCGCACTGGAATGCGCCACACTGTGCCCTGACCTTGCACGGGTAGAAATAACCGTGCAAGGCCCTTGTGTAACTTTGCTGCCCTCCAGTGGTGGTTTCTCTAAAGAACAGCTGCCGTGGGGCCCTGTCGATGGTGAGCTCGCTGGGGCAGGGACCGTCCCCCCCCCCACCTGGCTCCAGTGAACAAGGACAAGAAGGCAGACCCCGTCCACTCCTCGAGCCCCGTCCTAGGTGTCAGATCCGGAGCCATCTCCACTAAGCTGGGTCCAAACTCTCCACCAGGGCACGGCCGTGTTTCCCATCCTGCATTCCGTCCTGCACGACCCTGGGCGATTCGCCCACCCGGAGACCTTCGACCCCGGGCACTTCCTGGATGCGGATGGCGGATTTCCCGTCCACTCCTCGAGCCCCGTCCTAGGTGTCAGATCCGGAGCCATCTCCACTAAGCTGGGTCCAAACTCTCCACCAGGGCACGGCCGTGTTTCCCATCCTGCATTCCGTCCTGCACGACCCTGGGCGATTCGCCCACCCGGAGACCTTCGACCCCGGGCACTTCCTGGATGCGGATGGCGGATTTCAGAAGAACGCGGCGTTCATGGCCTTCTCGGCAGGTCCGGGCTCCCGGGGAGTGCCCCG